TTCCTATATTATATTATCCTTGATATGATTTTGAGATATATATATATATAAATCCAGTAATACAACCAAATAATGGTTCCATTAGTAAAAAGTACTGCCATTAAATGATCATACTAACAGAGTTGGAAGGGATTTTGGAAGACTTCTAGTTCAACATCCTGCTCAAGCAGGAGACTCTATACTATATCAGACAAGTAGTTGCCCAATTTCTTCTTAAAAATTTCCAGTGATGGAGCACTCACAACTTCTCAAGGCAAGCCATCCCACTGATTAATTGTTCTCACTGTCAGTACATTTCTACTTATTTGTACGTTGGTTCTCTTTTTGATAAATTTCTATCCATTGTTTCTTGTCCTGTTTTCAGGTGCTTTGGAGAATAGGTTGAATGCCTTTTCTTTGTGGCAGTTCCTTAGATATTGGAACACTGCTATCATGTCACCTAAGTCCTTTTCTTCATTAGACAAGACATACCCAATTCCTGCAACTGTTCTTCCAGTCCCCTAATCACCTTTGTTGCTCTTTTCTGCACTCTTTCTAGAATCTCAAAATCTTTTTTCATGGTGACCAAAACTGGATGCAGTATTCCAAGTGTAATCTTATCAGCGCATTATACAATAGTATTTCACAAGTAACTCAGATTTTAATAAACTGACTCCATTTATTTTAGCATTATTCCAGGATACTCTTCATTGTATTCATTTTTGATTCATTGTGTGCAGACACCAGACTAACAAAATAGTTTTATGCAACACCTTCCTGTGACAATTTGAGTTTGACAGCACTGTCCTAGATAATTGAAGCTTGAGTATAAGTAACGTCACCTTGTCTTGAAAAACAATCTATCAATCAGAATGGAGCTGGGAGACCCTATACCATTTCAGACAAGTGACTATCCAGTCTCTTCTTAAAAACCTCCAGTGATGAAGCATTCACAACTTCTGAAGGCAAGCTGGTTAATTCCACCATCAAGGGAGATAAACCTTCTTAACAATCTGCATTTTACTATCCCAAAGCATATTACTCACTATATCTTATAAGAAGCAAATATCTTTCACAACATTTCACAGTGGTATCTTTTACATAAAGATGCAGAACTGGTATTATGTGACCTACTTAATATTTAGGACACATAAACAGCATTTGCCTATATGTGAAACTAATCCTTTCCAAGGAAAAAAAGTGCAATGAAAAGTGAATAGAAGACTGCAATTTCATGGTTCATTAAAATACTGCTGAAATCCAAAATTGTAAATGAGAATTACAGGGATTCTTAAAGAAACTGTTAAATTCCATGAACAAAGGACGAACACAGGACTACATCAAATTAAGCGAAAGTAATAGAAATATGGAAGCCTAAGGATGTTGTGAACATTGTGTAGTTTCACAAAGCTCCTGTTTTTAAAGCTACCTCAAAATATCTGGCAACTAGTAAAGATAGAAAACATGAATTGTTTTATAATGAAAAGAATTATGACAACAAATAGAATTTCTATAAACATCAAGATTCTTTCTGATAACCTAAAATGAGCTTGTAGAAAGAACAACACAGTAGTTATGCAGCATTCCTTTTCAATACAATTAGGGCAATTTTAAATTGACTTTGACAATATAATGATCTGAATTTTAAGGTATCCAATTAAATAAGGACCATATTGGCAAAAATGACAGTATTGTATTCTCTTCCTACATTACCATGAAATTGAATTAATATTCCTCCATCTCCTAATTTTGCATTTGTGGATTTGAATCTTAACTTTTTTTCACATATTCAAAAAAGCTTCAACTGAAGATGGGAAGGGGAAGCAAGTTCTCTAGTCTCCTTGTTTCATGTTATTTTAGGACTTTCCCCAGTTTTCTTTTTTTTTTAAAAAAAAAAAGCTTTATTAACATTAAAAAATATATACATAATACAAAAAAATTCATAAAATACAAAACCAAAAAGTTATACATCACCAATAAACATAAAAACATAAAGACATCTAATTTCTTAGACAGTGTGTTTATGTCCAACAATGTTCCAATACTTAGTTCCGATATCTGGCATATACTCCTATCATGACCTCTTTGTGTTTTCTCTTGTCTGTTTACTTACAGTTTTCTATCTTTTATCCAATTATACCAGTTTTCCCAAACTGTAAAATATTTTGAGTCTTACTATCTTTTAACTTTTGGGTGAGCTTCTCCATTTCCGCACAGTCATAGATCTTCTGGGTTATCAAATTATCTGTTGGCATCTCATCTTCCTTCCAACAGTGAGCTAGTGGTATCCTTGCTGCCATTATTGTATGTAAAATTAAATATTTGATTTCTTTTGCGATTTCACCTTTTATTATTCCCAACAGAAAAATTTCAGCCTTAGGTTCTAATTGAATGTTTGTGATTTCTCTTATCCATATTCATATTTTTCCCAATACTTTTTGCTCTTCAGGCAAAGCCACCAAGTGTGGAAGAAGGTACCTCTTGTTTCTTTACATTTCCAAGAGAGTGGGCTTAAATTTGGATATATATTGGCCAATCTCAAAAGTGTCAGATACCACCAATAGCACATTTTATATTGGTTCTCTTTATAGACCGTCAATTTCACTACTTTATAGTTTTGCTTCCAAATTCTTTCCCAATCTTCCAAATTGATATTATATCCTATGTTCCTTGCCCATGCTATCATTGGGCCCTTGACTATTTCTTCTGCCAATTCAAATTCTAATAAGTAGTTGTATATTTTTGAAATTTCTTTTTCATCTGTTCCGTCTAAAAGTTTATCTAATTGATCCCAGTTTTCTGCATGCATTTTGAGAGAACTATTGAGTAAAAGAAGAATCAGTGAAAATGATCTTCCAACTCTAGGAATACTCTAAGAATATATTTGTAGTTTGTTATCTATGTATTTGAATAAAATAAAAAGTACTAAAAAGGTTATTAAGTATGAACCTAGTAAACATCATCTGGCAAAGTATTTCAGAACTAGGTTCTATGTGTCATTAGCTTGACCATTTGCTGGACTCTGCCCTTCCTGTTTTGATGAGATCTTCCAAAGAGGCAAATTGTGTCAGTGGACTGTACATGCATCCTTTGGTGCAGGGATGATGCCATCTGCCTTTATGTGTCTAAATTTTGTTTCATAGGGACTTACAGGTTCAGCATCATGACTTCAAAGTCAGAAAGAGAATGAGAAACATGAACAGTTTGGTGTAGTGGTTAAGGCATCAGATTAGAAACTGGGAGGCTATAAGTTCTACTTTTGCCGTAGGTAGAAAACCAGTTGGATGATCTTGAGCCAGTCACTCTCTCAGCCCTAGAAAGGAGACATTGGTAAACCATTTCTGAAATTTTGCCAAGAAAACTTTTGCATACACAAAAGAGGCGGCAGTGGGGAAGTTTACAAAAATGCAAATGGAAAGTGATATTAATCTAGGCTATTGTTTATCGTCTGTGAATAAATGAGTCTATTTGAGCTGAAGATATTGGCAGCCAGAAATGTTTTCTAAAATAAGAAACAATTATTTCTAATTATAATTTAATGTAACCTAGTAAGATATTGGACTTGGCTGATCATTTCCTATCTTACTCCATGGCTCTGTCTCCTCATATCATTAAGTATAACGGTGGTTGGGCCAGACTTTTTGTAACATGGGGCCTCTGAATGCAGAAATGTGATAAAGTGTTCCGTGATAAAAGCTCAAAAACATAAGCATGGCTGGCATCAGATAAGCAATCACCTCATACCATCAGTCTCTTCCCATACCGCTTGGAATGTCCTCAACAGAGTTGGAAAGGGAGCAGAAAGTTCAGTGGGCTGGCACTGGACTTCTCTTCAGTTAATGTCCCTTCCTTTGGAAGCGCCACCACTGACCATGTATCCCAGGAAAGGCACCCCAGAGTTCTAGAGCAAGTCATGCAAAATGAATAAAAACACTACTTTCCTGATTTTAATAAAAAATAACAACAGCAGCACTGACAACTAATTTTCATTAACTAGACTAAACCAGGTAAATAACACCTGATGTGTACAGTTAAATATGAAAACTATGGATTCTAATTTAATTGTCATTTCCCAATACAAAAAGGGAGTAAGAATTCTAGAATTACCTCATTATCAGGATCATTTCCCGCTTGTTTAAGTCATTTTGAGACTATCTAGGGGTTCTTAGATAGCATTGTTGTATTACATAAGCTCAGAATGACATCCATGGTGACATGAATATGAAAGGATATATATGTGTACCTGAATCATAACCAAAATCTGCATATGCAACAAAACTTCATAAAGTACTGGATTTCATCAATAGTTCATACAATGAATAGTCCATACATGAGTGATATGTTTATAGATTGGAACCTACTATGCAGCTTGTTATTTTAAAAAGGCACAATGCTAAAAGCTATATCTTAAAAAGAATTAGTACTCCCTATGGGTATAGCTGACTAACAAACCAATTATGTGTAATTTTTTTTCTGAAGCAAGCAGCCTTTTCATTGAGAAACACAGATTTCTGCCTAATAAAAATAAATTCACTTTAGTTTCCCAGAATCAACTAACAAGTAAATACATGGCTTCAAAAGCTAATATATTATTTTAATTGTAGAGTTGTCACATTCCCCACCTACATACAACTGTAGTTTTGACTGCTGTTGTGTTTTTAGAAAGAAAGAAGAAACCACTAATTTTCATGATCCTTTCTGAATTGTACCACATGGTGGCATACTTGCTGTAAAATATGGATTATATGTATGTAATATAAAACTCCAAGGATGTTTTCAGTCTCATTTCACACAGGCTTTTTTTCCCTATTAGTAAAAGTTGATATTCATCCTGTGCAAATGTAGAAGTTTGGTTTTTAATGCATTCCATTTCTTCATCATGCATAAGCTGCAGTATTCAAAAAAATTAATTTTTTATACTTAGCAGTTGAGTACCTTACATTTTTCACCCACAGTATGTTCTTGAAGTGTTTTTAACATACTCAGTTTATTGTAATTGTTATGATTTATCTTTTAATCAGGGCTTTTTTGAAGAGGAAGAGGGTAAGGAATATATTTACAAAGAGCCCAAATTAACAGGCCTATCTGAAATCTCTCAGCGACTGATGAAACTTTATGCAGACAAGTTTGGAACAGACAATGTAAAGATAATCCAAGATTCCAATAAGGTACGGTTGGAAATGTCCACAGATCTATTTTTTTTTAAGAAAGCATTTGTGCTAGTACAGAGTTTTTTGTCCAAACCCACTTAAAATAAATGAATCATTCTTTTTTTTCTCCAACATTCTTTTTTTCTTCAATGAGCCATGCTCACTGTATAAATTCAGTTAATATCAAAGCACGAATAACTTGGAACCAATGAAGTAAAAAAATGAAGAGGAGTATGGTTCAGGCAAGGCATAACCTCTTCTGTGGCCATGCAATTACATATATTCGTCTCTCTGATCAGAAGAGTTATAATAACGCCCTTGATAGTAATATAAGCATTTGTTACATGCTGTGGTGTATAAACTTATGTACATTCATTACACTGCTATTAATTGATTAAAGGTGGAAGATCCTGGTAGGCATGCCTTTTTGGGGGAGTGGGCTTTCAAATTTCTGAAAGGGAATTCCCAGCAACAGAGGCTTTCTTAGAAATCTGTTTTGTTTGTCTAAGAAAATGTTTTTGGTCCTTTTTTGCTCAAAATATCTGAATACAAAATATACAACCATCCTGTCCAAAGCAAAGAAATCTATGAATATATCCTCTTTTATAATGTCTAAAGCAGCATTTCAGTAATATGCTGTAAAAAGCAAGAGTTTAGTTTCTTTTCTTGTCCTTGTGCTGCCTCTAATTGATGTATTGTCTCCCCTTTTGTTTGTATAGGTTAACCCCAAAGATTTAGATCCTAAATATGCATATATCCAAGTAACCTATGTCACGCCCTTCTTTGAAGAGAAAGAAGTTGAAGAACGTAAGACTGACTTTGAAATGCATCACAATATCAACCACTTTGTGTTTGAAACGCCGTTCACCTTGTCAGGAAAGAAGCACGGGGGTGTAGAAGAACAGTGCAAGAGACGGACAATTCTGACAAGTATGGACACTGAATTCTTCTTCACAACAGGACAATATCTCAGGATGTTTGGGCCACTTCTCAGCCTCTGAACCTCCTGAAAGTCCACAGGAGACCATTTGAATAACCACTCCCTCCAAAAAAACTGTGACCTAAATTGCACTGTTTTGTTTCAGTGTCAAGATTTTGAAGTGTTAAGGTCCACAAAGAGAATGAAAGAGAGAAACAGTTGGGTGTAATGGTTAAGGCAGCACAGTAGAAACCAGAAAGCTGAGTGCTGGTCTTGCCTTAAGTACAAAACCAGTGATTTTGGACCTGTCTCTCCCTCTCAGTCCTAGGTAGAAGGCAATAAATCATTTTCAAAAAATTCAGGTAGTTCAGGAGTCAACAATAATCAACATTGACCTGAAGGAGCACAAAAAAGGGGAAGGAGGAAGAAATTATTACTATTTCTTCAATCAGTAAAGCCACCCTTCTCAATCCAATTGACTCAACACAGCAACTGATGATTTATTATTTACAAAAATAGTTACAAATATCTTGTAACATATTGCTAATTATCTAAGGGATAGTTATTGAATTGCCAATGGATATGCTTCAAAAGATTTTGGTTTAGAATAGAATGTCATATTTAAAACTATGTTTATTTAGCATTTTTCTTGTCCCAATAATATTAATTTATATTTACAAACTGTTAAAATAATTTTAAAATTGTTACTGAAGCAAGACCTTTCTTGTTACTTATTTATACTTGATTTATCCATTATATACCTTATGTTTCTACTTCAAATACACTTGAGGTAACATGAAAAATGGTATCCACAAAGTAAGAGTGATATTCTTATACCTGTTCTGGAATTTGATTAAGACAAGCAAGTAATCCTTTTATGATCTTTTAGAAAACTATAAATATACACTTACACACATGAACACACCCACACATACTGTAGATACAAACATACAAAGAATGAGAAAATGGAACTATTCATGGATATATTGTATGAATTATGGCTTTGTTTTAATTATGAATATATTTTACATTAAATAAACCTTCCTTAGATGTATTTATCTTGTTTTTTTACTGCAGCTAGCCATTTATTTCCATACGTGAAAAAAAGAATACAAGTTATAAACCAGACCAGTATAGAACTGAACCCCATAGAAGTAGCTATTGATGAGATGTCCAAAAAAATTTCAGAACTCAAACAACTTTGCACAATGGATGAGGTAGATATGATTCGACTCCAGCTGAAACTACAAGGAAGCGTCAGTGTCAAGGTAAGTATGTTTCAGCCCTTTTCTCAGGTTTAAAAGATTTGACATTTAGGATTTTATAATAGGAAACAGAATCTTTATCTTCTTCTGTTGTTACAACCTCACCTGCTGGAAATTCAAAAGAAGCATTATAATATTAGCTAATTCATTAAGTAAATTAATTAATATTACAAGCTTATTCTTTTGAATCTGAGATTTAGCTCCCATTTCTTAATATCCTTGCTAGGTTTGCCAAACGGTAGAAGGGGAGTATGGTACTGATTAAAGCATCATTATCCCTCTCCCAGAAAGATTGATGCTTCTGCCTTAGGATTCAGTTACCTCCACTGCATCTCCTTCCACAGAGAATAAGTTTTTAATGCCTGCTACAGGCTGTGCATCATCATGAGAGATTCAACATCAAAAAACAGCTTCCTTTTCAGGAGTCTGAAAGCAGTGGAGGAGTGGGAAATGTATCTTAGAGGAAAAATGAAGACCAATGCTGATAACATTGTATGAGACTCAGAAAAACAGAACTAAAAGCCATGTTAATGATTAGGGTTTTTAAGAGATATCTAGCTTCATTTCAAATTAACTTTTATTTTGATAGTTGCAATTTAGTATACTACACTGTTTTCATATTTAATTTTATCTATTGTGCTTTTAGTGTGATAATATTTTTATTTGATGCAGTGAACTTAAGATAGCTACCCTTTAATTACTTCCCAGAGTTTGAAGGCCATATTTTTTGTTTTTACTGCATGTTGGGGGTTGGGCTCCAGTTTAGGAAATTTATTAAAATTGTTTTAAAGAATGAAATGGATGCCTTAATATTGGGCCCAAACATTTTGATCACCCAATCTTGGGAAGATTCTGGTAATCACTAAAGGTGTGCTAGCAATCCTTCCATTTTGCACACCTGATCTTCAAGTGTTTCCTTTCCATAATGTATCTGCAATTTAGAAAACTCTTCAGTAACAGGTGTACAAAATCAGGACTTCAGGTATTGACAGAATAATTGTTTTAAGCTGCCTTTGCCAGTCCTGATCTCGGCCCTCAGTATAACATAGCACACTTTGACTTGCAGGTAAATGCAGGACCAATGGCTTATGCTCGAGCATTTCTTGAAGAAACCAATGCTAAGAAATACCCAGATAACCAAGTTAAACTTCTGAAAGAAATATTCAGGTAAGTTTTACAATATGTTAGATAGATGAGAGAGAGAAAAAAAATATGGAGATAGAGATAGAGATAAACAAATACAAGGGTAATATATTTCTGTGTCCATTATGAATACACCATTTTAATCCATAATAAAATCGAAATGCTATATTATATTTGAAACAATAACACATTGCCTTGACATTAAAGATATGAGATTTTTTGTGCTATGCAGACAATTTGCAGAAGCATGTGGACAAGCTCTTGAAGTTAATGAACGCCTTATTAAGGAGGATCAGCTGGAATATCAGGAAGAAATGAAATCTCATTACAAGAACATGCTCAGTGAGCTGTCAGAGGTTATGAATGAACAGGTTAGCCATTCTCTTTCAACACCTTGTTTTCAGCTCCAAAGACATTAGGGTTGTCACATAAACAATGCCTAATCCTAATTGGGGAGCCACCTTGGGAAATTAAAAGTCCCACAAGGTTCCTAATTTCCAAACTTCTTTTCTTGGTCTAAAGTATATTCTCATTTCAAATACTCCTATCTCTTTTACCTTCCTTTATCTGTGAATCCCTCCTATTCTGATTTCTATCATTTAAGAGTAACACTAATCAGAAGAAAAAAAATCTATCATGCTAATTAATTCTTATAATCAATAGAGATTGAACCCTTTCTTCTTTCCCTCCTTCCTTCCTCCCTCCCTCCCTCTCTTCCTCCTCCTTTCCTTCCCTCCCTTCTTAAAGCAAATTCTGACAAATATTTACCCACTTGGTATTTTTAAGTTGATATTATTCAGAAAAGCATACAGTGATTCTTTTTAGGCCAATCATACCATGAACGGCTTAACAATATAAGGATATACTGGGATTTGATATGCTATTGAATACATTTTGATCTTTGTCCATACAGTATGTGAAAAGTAGAAGCAGGTTACATTGGAATCTATGAACACAGGATAACATTAAATTGGATGCTGGTCTGTTATTATATCTAGAAGTAAGAGAAAGTCATAGGGTACAAAAACCCAGAATACTCATGGATAAACTTCCATTTTCTTCTGTCAGAGGCTATATATGACACCATATACCCACACAGGGAAAGGTAATAAATTCAGACAAAGGGAAATACAATCTCAAGAGCAAAATGGAGGAGGTTTCCTTGATTCTTTACACTTTGAGCAGACACCACAATTATTCTATCCTGGCATATCAAAAGGGCATTAGGCTTTTCTCCTTCCCAATTATATATGCCAAACACTGATGGATTATAGGATGAACCTAAGCCTGTGAAAACAATTGAGAACTCACTATGAGGAGATCCTGTTATACATTCAAGATATTTTTTTAAAACTGCTTGGGCAGAAAATCCCATATTGGGAACAGGACTAGATGAAGAAGATTTTCAGGTTTATATCTTAATTCCTACATAAATTAATTAGGATTTTATTGTTTCCTTATCAATCCTGTGTTTTGTTGTTGTTGCTTGGGTTACACGAAGTTATGTTTCACACCTCTCTATCTATATAAACAATAAAAAACAGTGTTACTGTTTCATTTATCACTATTTGTCAATGCTCTCAAGAAGTATCTTAGGAGAACTGATGGATTTTCTGTGACTTCTGAGAAGTTAATGTCTCCCACCCCATTTGGTTCAGAGAGAACACTACAAGAGTTCTGTGATTACTTCCCTCCATAGTTAGTCACCTCCAGCACCTTGCAAGTTTCCTGTTGTGTTTTTTCCACATCAACACGTATTGTATACACTGTGTCCTTAATGGTATTTTACATAAAGGCATTGAAATCCTATGTGTTATTCATTATTGTTGTGTTTCTATGTCCACTGACTATGGCATTTCCATCAACATCTTTCTTTCTCTTTTTCTGGCAGCTCTGTCATGCTCAGTGTTTATACAACTTTTCTGCTTCACTGTCTAACATTTCCCTCAATACTATAGCCAAAAGTGGTATGTTTGATTTTCTTTTTGCTCTCTGTACCTTTACTGTCATGAATTCTGCATTTCACTGGTGATGCTTAGCAAAAAAGTGGGGGCATAAGCCATTCTTTTGGGAAGCATGAAATATAATACAGGGTCAGGGAGAACTGTTAATAATATGCCAGGCTTTCTTGTCTAGCACTTCATGGGTTAATAGCGACAGTCCATTTCTGATGATCCTTTTTAATAGACACTTAAGTTTCATAATAGTCCTACTTAGGCATGATGTTTCTTCTTCAGCACTTACAGTGGGGTTGCATGCATGAAGTAGACTTTTCCCTGGGGCCTTCTCAGCAGATGTGCATGATGTACTGTATGTCTCTGCAGTACTGATGTAGGAATAAATGCTTAAATACATTCATGTTTATGTTTAGACATTAGAAAGAGATGCTTGATCCATGTGGGGTGTAGGTGTCAACTATTTATTATGGCCACATCTGGCTTCCATTTGCAGCTAAGTGTTAAATGTCCCAAGTAAATAGGTGATACACTGTTTATTTATGATGTTCAGAGCCAGCAGAGCTAAATTCATATGTGTATTTACTTTATAAAAGTGTCAAAATATACTTTCACAGATATGTTACACAATTGGACGCTAAAGAAGAAAGTGTTTTTTTTTAAAAAGTTGGAATACTGTTGGAGGAAGAGATCAAAATACAAAACAAAATCTTTCTTTCATATGGCAGCTGTTAAAAACCTTAACAGGATAGATAAAAACAGCTGATCAAGTTGTTCCTAAAAGTATAATTTAGAGCATGGATGTCAAACTTGGCACATCACATTGCCATCAGTTTGACACCCCTGGTTTAGAATGAGCTTAATTTTTCCACATGTTTACTTATTTACTCAGGTTTACTTATTTCTTTTTGTATGCATCTGTTTTAAAGATCACTTACAAGGAGGATTCTGCAAAGCATCCAGGAGTGGAAACACATTATTCCCATGCAATCAGTAGAACAATCACTGCCCCACCTGGATCACTGCTTTCATCAAATGCAGATATTTCATAACTGCCTTTGATTATGAACTGGAAAATTTCGGCGTTATTTTGCAAAACAATGTAGGCAAATTCTGGAGGATACCATAACTGTGTTACATTATTATTTTTTATTTATTGAACAATTTTATGTGTCAATTTAAGAAAAATAGTCAATTTGATTTTTTAAAATGTTATTGTCTTTCTTGATATTTGCACATTTCCTATAATTTTCTTTATTATGGCCAGTCTTTAGTAAATAGACTGAAATGAAATATCCATTGAACAGTTAGTTTCACAGCAAACCTTATGTTTGCTATAAATAATAATATAATCTAATACAGGTTCTAGTATACATATATTTTAAAAGTCAAAAGTGGGTGTTTTATAACATTTAAGTATATTAAAGTTGTAAATAAAAGATGTGTAAAATACGTCATTTTTACAAAAAATTAGTTAATATTTGACATGACTAAAATGTGGATAACATTTCAAATACGGCTATATTAAAATATTTGTTTATGTGTATAAAATTGTGTGTGTGTTATTGGCTAAATCATTTGGGGTTGCAGTGGGATATAATTTGAATCACTACTTTTGCTACTACCATTGCTTCAAGATGTTCTCACATAGCTGGTGATGTGTTTGAAATCATGTTTTTTTTCCAAGGAGCTGTACATTTTCTACCAACTGAAATAGAAATGGAAGATTTTAATGGCTGCAATTTAATTGACTCAAACTTGTCATTTCTGAAGTAAAAGGTTGACATACAGAGTACCAAATCACTCTTTTCTGACAGCATAGAATCTAACTCTCATTTTCGTTCTGTTGTGTCCTTTATTTTTTAACTACTTCAGAATTTCTCCAGAAAAGATACTATGGCATCATATATACAGTATTTAAATACAGCATATAATATAGTACACACTTTCATTTCTTACCACTCTTTATGGTATGGGTGTCAAACTCACTGGGCTATGTTGCCATCAAGTGATGTTTCAGACATTTTCCCCCTTCATAGAGTTGGGGTGGCCATGGACTACACATGACACATCCAGCCCATCAGTTTGACACCCTTGCTTTATGGATATCCATGTTAAATCCTTTGTGATAACTGATAATAGTATAGATATAGACCAGCCTCACTCCAGTTTACTTTCCTATTTGTATTGTAACATCATGAACTTGCTTAGTGCTGTTATAGAGCAGTATTTTAGCTTTTATAAAACAATGTTTCATCTTTTACAGAACAATATACATGGTTAAGTGCTTAATTGACAGGAAAATCAGCTTGCATGTCACATTATCTTGAGCTATATGACCAGATAAAAGATGGATGGATCTAGTTTTTATGCTGGTGAGGAAAAGTTCTGTTTATTCATAAATAAATGGGGAAGAAGGGGAGATAAACACTGCTTCTAAAAAGAAATGCCTTGCAAAGTAACTTAAAAAAGACCTAGTAGAATTGTAATTATAGCATCTCTACTATTGACGAAAATGTAAAAAAAAAAACACCTATGTGTCTGGTTTAATTTGTTATATTGGTAAACTAATAATACTCTATTGTTTCACAGTATTTTTCCTGACAACTTTTTGCATCATGAGTTTAATTCTAAAAGCATTATTTACACATTAGGAATAAAATCCTTTTCATCATTATTACTGTTTTCATTGAAGCCATAGAGTATTTTTCTAGTTTACAATAAAAAATGTGATATAACTGATTAATCTTAAGTAGAAAAATAATTTAAGTTGATGGTACCAATTTCAGATTTTGAAGTTTATTTTTTACCGGTATAAGTGGGAGTTTTTTCCCCTCTAATATTGGTAGCATGTCAAAAAGATATGGGTTCTTGACTGGAATCAATTTTTTCCTAATCCCTTTCCAGTACAGACTAAGAATGAACATGTAATTCCATTGAATTTAAGAGGATTTGTTTCTGAATAAGTATGAAAAGTAAATACATATCAGCAAATAAAAAAACATAGCTAACAAATATTGATTTCAAAAACTCATGTGGCATGCCATATTTGAAGTCTTAGCTATAACCCAGAAGTGGACCTTTCTTCACATATTGAATTTCCTTATCTCTGCCAGGTAATTCCCCATACTTCAGGCTGCTAAGTTGCAACTTACATGTGTTAAGGTATAATTCAGTCTATTAAACTATAGTAGAGTCAATCTCATTCTGAAGTTCTTCTGGAATTGATAGTTCAATTATATGATAGAGTAACCTTGGAAGACCCAAGAAAGGGCTGCAACCAGGGTAATGATCAGATGAGATATCTCAGCCCACAAAAGAAATGGGGTTGAATAAAGTATCTTAGAAGAGATACTACTACCCTAGTTCTCTGGAAAGTAAATGTAAAGGAAGGGACAACTGCTTTCAGATATGCAAGATATGTTACTGTAACTGTACAATAAAGTGGTGCTAGTTCTTATGACTTGATTTCCTATCTCGACTGATGAGCTGACAGCAACCTTGCATGTCTAGGACATTCCTAACATGTTCTGAAAACAATTCTCAAATGAGTAACAAATCCAAAGCTCCTAGAGATCCAAGACCTTGGAATATGTGATAAGTAACTTCAGTTATAAAACTAATTTGGACAATACCACTAAAACTGTGCTCTTTCATTTTTCACTCTATCTCAGACAATAAAAATTAATGATAATCAATGTATAAAAGCTGTTTGTTGCAATCATGATACTTTTTCCATTAAGTTCACTTTTCTGTTCACACATGGGATCTAATCATATCTATAACGATGTTGTTCTGATGAGAAATTCTGTCACACTCTAACTTTATTAATGATGAATAAGCCATTGTTTTGTTCAAATACATTTCTAACAATCAAGAAACTGGTGTCAGGAAATACTTATAAATCTACTGAATAGATTTTGAGTACCTGTATAGCATTAAACATCAGGCACAAGCAATCAGATCCACATGAGTAAAGGTAAAGCTAACTGTTTTATTATATTATGCCTATAATACAGGAATTTCTCCAGACTTCTTGCCTTCCCATGGGAACAGATAAATAAACTTTCATGAAGTTGAAGGAGGGGGAGTGAGATCAGTCCTGGGTCTCTTGCAGCTGCAAAATGATTCAAAGCTAATTCCACATTGAGTCCTCCTCTCTGCCTGCCTGAACATTCCCCAACATTAAAGGACCTGCTTTGAAGTGTAGATTTTTATTGGGAGAACAAGACCTCTAGTAGATGTATGTGGGGATATACAGTCTTTCAGGGGAGAGGGCTTGGTAAACTGTTTATTACATTTGCTCTACTTTAATTGAAAATTAAATTAAATTTAAATAAAAATTGATTAATATGGTTACAAGGGTGATAAAATCATTCAAATGAGATGTTTCATAACACATGGGAGTTTAAAATAAACACCTCTCCATGAATCATTAAAGCTAATGCAGTTCTTTGCTTCCAATATTTTTTGTATCTTTCAAAAGGAAACTGAAAGCCATGCAGTAATTATAGGAAATAAAACTGGATTAGTAAACATCAAGTCTTAAGTTTTCAAAAATGTGCAATTAGCAAGCTGCGTTCTCAGAGTTTACTAATTGCTCTTTTTAAAAAGTAGACACAACATATTTTATATCAACCTTTCATGATGTAAGCCTGAGCCATGTCAGGAAACAGATAACATAGAACAATCAGAAATCTATTGCTGAATTTTGAAAGCTTCACCACCAGAGGTGGTATTCAGGAGGTTCTGACCAGTTCTGGAGAACCAGTAGCAGAAATTTTGGAAAACTGGCAAATACCATTTCTGACTGGAGATTTTACAGTAACCTTCCCGTGCCGTGCCCACCAAGCCACACCCACAGAACTGGTAGTAAAACTTTTGAATCCCACCACTGTTAATCACCAGGTCTTACTCCCTTCCTCCCTCCCTTCCTCCCTCTTTCACCAAATAAGTCAATTCAAGAAGGTTTCTTCCTTAGATTGTCCTGACTTTTCAGACTAAACTGGTTTTTTAAAAAATATCTGTTGCCTACTTACTTCAAGTCTATCTCCATACACCTCTACATTTTGATTTTAGCAAAGTATTTGTCAAGGCAATGCATGGAATTCTGATCAATAGTTAAATATAGGCTACATGGCATAATAGTTAAAGTGATATGTAGATTTAAACTCATTTTCAAAGAGTGCTTATTAAAGATTCCACAACAAATTTATATAATGTTAATTAATCACTTGGATAAGAGATGAAGGGATTAAACTCATTTTCAAAGAGTGCTTATTAAAGATTCCACAACAAATTGATATAATGTTAATTAATCACTTG